AGAGCTATGTTGGCACATCTGGGAAAACCTGAATCTGAAAGCTTCCCAGTTTCCCCCACCAGTTGAAAGTTCAAGATCTTGCCCTCACACCCACAAGTCCATCCCATGGTCCAATCTTCCACTGCCATGCACGGTCAGGTGCAGAGGTGAAAAGACAAAGGATGACCTTGGCTTTCTAGAAAGAATTTTGTTATGGCTACATAGCATCCAACTCCGTACAATCTCCCCTCCCATTTTCCCACAATAGAAAATGCATAGTAGAATAATAGAAAGTGTGGCAGGCCAAAGATCCCCCCAAAAAAGATGGCTGCAGGCCGGACACAAGGTTCTTTCCCAGCCTTTCTTGGAAATGCAGAGAATGGGCTATGACACCACATGACAAGCAGTTTTCCTATAAAATATCCCAGTACTTATTTTTCAGCAATGAACTCTAGCAAGTGATCCTTCATTTGAATCAATCAGTAGTTTTTTTTTTTTAATGTCCTCTTTTTTATTTTTCTTTCTTTTTACAGATACAACAAAAATCTGGTGTTTGCTCAAAACTGGGGGATCAGAAAGGGAATCATAATGGGATTTTTCACAGGTTACATTTGGTGCATCATTTTCCTGTGCTATGCGCTGGCCTTCTGGTACGGCTCAAAACTTGTCCTTGAAGACAAGGAATACTCTGCTGGTACCCTTTTGCAGGTGAGTGCTTTCTACATCTTTTCCTGTACTTTGCGCATAGTCATTTAGATATGGGGAGAGTCGGCAAAACTCTCTGGATTCATTATTTTATAAACTGAATATTTTTTTAAAAAAAAATGGTAGACCTCTGTAGATATCACTGAGATATCCATTTGCTTGGACCCCCCCAAAATACGAGAAGAAACCCATCCATGTAGGTTTTCCTATTTCTTTTCTTCCTGCCGCAGCGTCCAGTGTTTCCAAAAAGGATTGGTGACAAGCCAAAATGAAGTGAAATTTGTAGAGCATAGATATTGCAGAACCTTTCTGCTGACACCCGGTATGGGTTGGATCTAAGCCCTGAAGAAACCAAGTCAGTTTCACTCTTTAGAATGTGGCTCTGGTAGGGATGAGTCCCTGCAGCAAAATGTTACAGCACAACATGCCACTGTTGGCAGACTCTTTCCATTTTAATGCGATGCAAATCACTAAAAGCACTGTCCCCTTTGGGGACAGAAATGAGCCAGTCTCTTTTCCAGCTGTAAAAGCAGCTGTGCCTTTTGTAAAGTCCATGCAGCTGCTTCAGAAGTGATTCCCAGATGCTCTCATGCAGAACCAGTTGACTTCAAGCAAATACTTTGCCCAGCCTTGCTCAAATCCATATCCTTTTCGCCATATGTTCTTCTCATCCCTGCTGACCTGTAGCCTTCCGTGCTTGCTAAGCCTTTCTACTGTAAATACATCTGATTTTTGGAGTTGGGGAGGTGTTTCTTTCTTTTTCTGAAGATGCGTTTGAATTTCTGTAGGCCTTGCAATTTAAGCTGATTAATGCTTCCGTGTTGTGTAGCGATACACAACAGACTCAGTAATTAGCTTATTAAAATAACAGAATAGGATGGGACCTTGGAGGTCTTCTAGTCCAATCCCCTATTCAAGCAGGAGACTCTATACCAGGGGTGTCAAACTTGCGACCCGCATGCCAGATGCATCACACACTGGCCACCCCCACCCCCATTTTAGCAAAGGAAGAAAAGTCGTGATTTGTCATTTGACGACAACATGACACAGCAAGTTTGACACCCCTGCCCTATACCATTTCAGGCAGGTGATTGTCGAATCTCTTCTTAAAAACCTCAAGTGATGGAGCACCAGAGGAGGGTTGCTGCCGGTTCAGTCCAGAATGGGCAAAATGGTAGTAGTGGTGGCGGGAGGTTCCGCCCACCCACCTGGACGCGCATGCGCACATCCATGAGCAAACTGGTAGTAAAAATAATAGAAACCCACCACTGTGGAGCACCCGCAATTTCTGGAGACAAGTTGGTCGATTAATTATTCTGTCCGGGAACGTTCCTTAGTTCTAGATTAATACATAGAATAATACAATTCATACTCTCTTAATACATACCAAGTATTTTCTAGACCTCTAAAACTTGGCTTTGAATTAACAGTCCAGTCCAGAGGTGGGTTGTTCCTGGTTCGGCCTGATTTGGCCGAACCGATAGTGGCAGTGGCGGGAAGCTCCACCCACCTCTCTGCCCGTGCAAGAGAGTACTCATGCGCATGAGCGAACCAGTAGTACGGTACAAACCCACCACTGGTCCAGTCCCAGACTTGAAAATTGAAATAGCTTCCTTAGGTTGGAAGGTAAAAGAATCACTCTATCCCTTTAATTCTATTCCTATTCCTACCTTCCGATAGAGAGGAAGAGTATCCTTGATGTTATTTCTCAAAAGAACAAAGTATTTTATCTGCCTTCTACTGTTTTGGGGCATCTATAGCTACCGATTGTAATTTAGTACTGGCGTGCAGAAACTAATTCTCTCCCCCCCCCACTTTATCCTTCTCAGGTTTTTCTCGGCGTCCTAATAGGTGCCTTAAATCTTGGTCAAGCGGCCCCTTGCTTGGAAGCCTTTGCAACAGGTCGAGGGGCTGCCACAAATATATTTGAGACAATAGATGAAGTAAGTAACCACTGATTTGCTTTGGGAGAGTTTCAAGGAATGTAAGCTTAGCTTTTGCCAAGAATGCAAATGAGAAATATTACAGTGATTAAAAGAAATTGATTGCAAGTTAAAGCAAACCAGTATCCTGCCTTGGTATTTACAAAGAGTGCAGTCATCCAAGTGACATTCCTAAGTGATTTTTCTTATGAATATTCAGCTTCTCACTGCTTGCCCCACTCTGTCTGTCAAAGAGGGCTATACTTTATAAGGTACCTGATCATCAAGAAAGGCAGTGAGACAATTTTGCAAATTAAGTGGTTTCAGGAACTCAGTCATTCTGGGCCCTCGGGCGTGTGATTATAAGAAAGAAAAGGAGGCCAGAAGCTCGGGGAAGGAAATGAATATGTATAGCACTGCCAAGCCTTCAGAATTTTGCAAGGACAAAAAAAATAAAACACTCATTAAATCTTTCCCACAATAATTCTGCAGATGCCAACAAGCTATGGCTGCAAAAGCCAATAATATTCCATTAGTTTTATTCCTTGCTTTGCCAAAAAATAAGAGTGGAATGCATATAAATAGACAACTCTGTATGTTGAACAAAGCCAGCGTGGATGGGTGGTTAAGGCATCAGGCTTGAAATTAGGAGGCCATGAGCTCAAGTCATGCCCGGGGCACAAAGCCAGCTGGGTGACTTTTCGGCCACTCATTCTTGCTCAGCTCTAGGGAAAAAGCCAGGACGAATCATTTCCCAAAATTCTTGCCAAGAAAACTGCAGGCATTAGACCAGGCAGTTAGAAACTGACCTGAAGGCAGGGGTGAAATGCTACCGGTTCACACCAGTAGGGACCATTGTCATTTCTTCTGTGAACCAGTAGTAACAAAAAAGGTTCCCAGGATTGTGCAGCTCAGCTGTGAGCTGTGAGATCATTGGAAGCTTTCCTTCCCCCCCCCCCTTTTAAAGCAAGCATTTATCCCTGCTGGTTCAGGCGGATAGGCAGGAAAAAATGCTTTAAAAGTGGGGGAGGGAGGTTCTATGACAATCAGCTGTGCTGTGTGATCGTGGGAACCTCTATTTTTTCACTAATTAAAGCATTTTTACTATCTATTCGCCCGAACCGGTAAAGCATTAAAAAATGCTTTAAAAAGTGTGGGGGGGGGAGGGGGAGATTCCCACAATTGCACGACACAGCTCAACCTTTCCCCCCACTTCTTAAAGCATTTTTTACTACCGGTTCAGGCAAATAGGTAGTAAAAAATGCTTTAAACATTTTAAAAAGTTGGCCATGCCCACCCAGTCACATGACACCCCCATCAAGCCACGACCCCACCAAGCCATGCACAGAGAACTGGTGACAAAATTTTTTACATTTCACCACTGCTTGAAGGCATCAAAAGAAAAGAAAACAATATAAAGAATAGCAATAGCAGTTAGACTTATATACCGCTTCATAGGGCTTTCAGCCCTCTCTAAGCGGTTTACAGAGTCAGCATATCGCCCCCACAGACAATCTGGGTCCTCATTTCACCCACCTCGGAAGGATGGAAGGCTGAGTCAACCTTGAGCCGGTGAGATTAGAACCGCTGAACTGCAGATAACAGTCAGCTGAAGTGGCCTGCTGTAGTGCACCCTAACCACTGCGCCTTCTCGGCTCTTATAAACACACTTACTGAGCTGTTGATTTAAGCAAGTCTCTTCTACACTGGAACACACAACCCACATTCTCGGGTGCAAGGCTTTGAGATGATTGGCCCCTCCCATAAGACATAAAGAGGAGCAAACAGATGTGAGCGTTTGCAGGAAGCAATTTTGTTCGTTCTGGTCGGTTTAAACTCTGAAGCTCCGTTTGACTCTATGCTCCGTTTGGCCTTGCAAAACTAATGGACAATTAGGTCTTTGGCAGTGTTTCAAGGGAGATAAAGGTGGGTGCTTATCAGCCTTACCCTGAAAGACTGTGCAGACTTCTGTCAGACTCTTTACAAACATAATTCACAGCCGTTGAAATAAAAAGAGAGTTTTTGGGACTAAGCGTGTGATTTTTACTGTCTCAGGAAGCCTAGAACAAAAATAGGAGGGGTGAGTCCTGTGTGTGCCACCTTTTCTTCCCGAAGGAAAGGCAGGATATAAACTAGCAAGACAATTGCTTGTATTTTCTAAATGTTCTTCTGGTGCCATAAACGGATGGTGCAAATCAGTGTTTCCCAACCTTACCGCTTGAAGATGTGTAGACTTCAACTCCCATAATTTCTCAGCCAGCCACGGTGAGGCTGGGCCCTGGATGTTTCATTTAGGGTTTCAACACTTTGACACTTTCCTTAACTAGGAACTAGGTGGTCCACCAAAACATTCATGGAAATGTTAAGTAATGTTAAGCAAGCTGGGGGTGGAAATCAATAAGAGATGGAATTATCACAAGGGCAGTTCAAGGGAGGAAAGATAAATCCTTCACACAGAGATGTGAAACTAGCTACTGAAAGAAAGCTGCTTGAGAAAAAGCAAATTGAGTGATCTGATTAATTCTACCCCAGAAACCTAAAATTGACTGTATGTCAGAAGATGGCTACAAACTGGACAAAGTCCGAGGTGAAATTGAATTCCATAATGTAACCTTCCATTATCCATCCAGGCCCGATGTTAAGGTAAGAACTCAGAGGTTCTATTCTGCAGCATTGTCATAATTTCCAGATTTATTCTGGGTACCTAGCTAGGCCTTTTCAAATACCATGCCATTCTCTTTCTTTCTTTCTTTCTTTCTTTCTTTCTTTCTTTCTTTCTTTCTTTCTTTCCCAGATTTTAGATAATCTCAGCATGGTTATCAAGCCAGGTGAAACCACCGCCTTTGTTGGTCCAAGCGGAGCAGGGAAAAGTACCACAATACAGCTGATCCAGCGCTTCTATGACCCTACAGAAGGCATGGTGAGGCTTTGACCTAACTCTGATATATTTCTTTCTTTGGGAAATAGCAATAGCAATAGCAGTTAGACTTATATACCGCTTCATAGGGCTTTCA